ATTCTGCATACTGTATGTATAATGTATACTGTAAATACTAGATTTTTATGTATTCATGTTATCTCCTCTATGTTTTCTTAATTTTATAAGTATAGGTACACATTTCATAAATTATCTGAAATCTATATAAAGTGTGGGCTTCCAAAACTTATAGAATACTTTTTTGGTCCTTATACAAAAATTCCATAAACCTTAAAATAAGTATCAGTAATTGCACTGATATAATTAGTCTTAAAATCATTTGAATTGGTATAGATCCTTCAAATTCAGATGAAGATTTTCTTTGACACTATTATTGAAGGATAACATTATTGATAATATGAAATATAAGCCTGTCAAGGAATTTTACTGTTACTGGCAAATGTCTACTCTGCTGAACTGATCTATGATCCTTCATGTTCTACTAGTTGTAATGTCTGAATAGGGTCTTTGTGCATTTATTAAAACTTTGGAAGTTTAAACAATTATTTCTAACATTCATTATATCAAAATTAATTCTTAGGTAGCTAATTTAGTTGGAAGTTGATATATAATAAAAAGTTTATAAATTTTGCTCTCATTCATTGTACCTTTCAATTTATTGTTTCTGCTTTACCTGCTTTTGTTTTTCATCAAACCCCTTGCTACACTTGGAAGCGTGCTTTAGATTCCTTTGCTGTCTCATTCTTTCAGTGAAACTAATAAATGAAACATAATGCTATCTATAAAACATGTTGAAATATGGATAAAATGTCATGTTTGAAAGCAAAGTTATCACTCACCCAACAGATTTCTTATTAATTATAAAGGAAAATGATCCTTTAAAGTGAAGAAATCTGGCAAACGCTGCCTCAAAAAAGGTACCAAACTTAGTACCATCAACGTGAGACACATTGGCATCATGAACCTCCCTATACAAAGCACTGAAAAGGATAAATCCCCTCTATGGTATCCCTGCCAAAAAGGTTTCAGCGAAATCTAATCATGGGAAGAAACATGACTAACCCAAATTGAGGCTATAGAACAACCAGTCTGGACTTTTCACTAACACAAGTATCATGAATGACAAAATGGCAGGGAAGCTGTTCTAGATTAAAGAATACTGAAGGGACATACCAAGTAAATGTGATGTGTGAATCTTGATTAGATCCTGAATTAAAGAATAAAATTTATGAAGCATATTATTTGGATATTTGGAGAAATTTGCATTATAGCAAATACTATTGTATCAATATTTTGAGTATAAAAACCATATTGCAGCTATGTAGTAGAATGGTCTCACTCTTAGACATACTTGCTGAGGTATTTAGTGGTGAAATATGATAGTTGGAAGTACTATCAAGCAGTTAAAAACTACAGAGAGTAATTATGCAGTACAGATAAATATGTCAAAATGTTACCTTTTGGTAAAGCTAAGTAAAGGGTATATGCGTATTTACTAAACTATTCTTGCAAATTACTCAAGATTAAAAAAAAATCCAGAATAAAGACTGGTGTGGAAAAAATAAAAGCATTCTGCTTATACAGATTTTTCTTCATAATCATTGTTTTGAAAGATGAATTTTTGCAAGTAGACAACTTTTCTGACATGCCATAGAAATGTTTATGACTAAAAAAGGAAAAATCTAAAAAGATTGTAGTAGCATCATAAATTTGGAAAATGTATTTTGAAATAGCAAAAATATACTTTTAAATCTGTTAGATGACAGAATGTTAATGATGAAGGTTAATCAGTTTTTCCCCCTATAATTTTACACTTGAGTTTCAAATTTAGCAAAGCCTGCCTTCTAGGTGCACAGATGAATTAAGTTATACCTTCTATATAGGAACCAATCACTATCATTGAATATTTGAACCTGTGGTGTAGGTCTTACTGAGGCAAAAAGTAAAATAAGTATATAAATAAAACTAGCTTGTATAATTCTAATCTCAGTTAAATTCAGAAGGCTCAGTTTGTGTTCCCACCAGCAGGGTAGGAGGGTTCTCCTTTCTCCACATCCTCGCCAGCATTTGTTGTTCTTAGTCTTTTCAGTGTTAGCCATCTTAACTGGTGTGAGGTGGTACCTCACTGTGGTTTAAATTTGCATTTTCCTGATAATTAGTGATGTGGAGCATCTTTTCATGTGCCTGTTGACCATCTGAATTTCTTCTTTGGAAAACTGTTCATATCCTCTGCCCCTTTTTAATTGGGTTATTTGCTTTTTGGGTGTTGAGACATGTGAGTTCTTTATATATTTTGGATGTTAACCCCTTGTCGGATATGTCATTTACAAATATATTCTCCCATACTGTAGGATGCCTTTTTGTTCTGCTGATGGTTATGGGGAAAGAAATATGGAGGTTCCTCAAAAAACTGAAAATAGAAATACCGTTTGACCCAGGAATTCCACTCCTAGGAATTTACCCAAAGAAAACAAGTTCTTAAATTCAAAAAGACATATGCACTCCTATGTTTATTGCAGCACTATTTACAAAATCCAAGACATGGAAGCAACCTAAGTGTCCATCAGAAGATGAATGGATAAAGAAGAGGTGATACATATACACAATGGAATACTATTCAGTCATAAGAAAGAAACAAATACTACCATTTGCAATAACATGGATGGAGCTAGATGGTATTATGTTCAGTGAGATAAATCAGACAGAAAGACAAATACCAAATGATTTCCCTCATTTGTGGAGTATAACAATGAAGTAAAACTGATGAAACAAAACAATTGCAAACTAACAGACTCCAAGAAGGGATGAGTGGTTACCAAAGGAGAGGGGTGGGGGAGGGCAGGTGGGGAGGGAGGGAGAAGGGGATTGAGGGGTATGATGATTAGTATACATGGTGTGTGGGGGGATCATGGAGAAGACAGTGTAGCACAGAGAAGACAAAGTAGTGACTCTGTGGCATCTTACTACACTGATGTACAGCAACTGCAATGGGGTTTGAGAAAGGGACTTGATATGGGTGATGTAGTAACTACATTGTTTTTCATGTGAAACCTTCATAAGAGTGTGTATCAATGACACCTTAAAAAAATTTAGAAGCATCAGAAAGGGTGAATAAAACAACATTATTTTCTCAGATAGTCATGCAAAATTCACAAACTTTTCCTGTTACAATGAGGGCATAGATACTTAGTTTTGGTTAATAATACTGAAAACTAAATGTGATGAGTTACATAAAGGCAAAATGGCAAAAATAAACCCATAATCAAAGAAAAAAAGCATTATTAAAAAACTTACAGTAAAAATTGATGTTTGTAAATTAATTTTAAAAATTTGTAAAATAAATAATTCTTATGGAATCTTACAGAATTGAAAGTTATTTAAATTTTAACAAGTCAGTATTAAGCAGTATATTAGATACACCAAGAGGTATCCATGAACTTAAAGATAGATTATGTAAATATTACAACCTTTTTCTGTACTAGTAATTCTCATAGAAATCTTAGAAGTAAAAGTAAAATAAAAGTCCTTAAAGTTTAAAATATCAACTGTAAAATAATATTAGATATATTATGGAGATAATTACTGAATATAGATATGGAGGAGAAAATGGTATAATGCAATACATATCCCTTAGGAATAGTCTTTAAGAGAAAACTGAAAAGCAAATATGGAGAGGAAGAACCATTTCAATAAAAATGGGCAATAATCTTCCAGGACAAATAATGGGATATATCTTCATATTTCTAAACAAAATTAATAAAATATTCTCCAAAAAGTCCATGTAACTATCATTACTATCTATTGTACATTAACAAGAATCAAAAACAGTTGATTCTCTGAAATTATTAGACAATCCATAAAAAGACTGGTTTATTAAGCATAATAAAAATGACAGTTGAAGGTAGGTCTGAAAACTTTCATGTTATTATAGGTGTACAATAAAACTAATAAATTTTAAAAATATCAATATTATATACTTGAATACTTGTGTTTATTTCAGTATTATTAGTTTAAATATTGAGTATTAATATTTGAGGCTAATAGTTCTGGATGTCGATTCAGGAACTCAGGCTCCCTACTCCTCGGTTATCCTCCACCCACTGGGGTTTTACGTAATCTTTAATTAGCTGATAGAAAAGAAAGAGCACGGATAAGGCACACTCAGATCATAAATGTCTTGGAGTGGTAGTAACATATATCCCTCTGCTCTAATGTGCTGATACATGTCATGACATTAACATATGACTTGGCTCTGTGTTCAGGAAAAATGCATGAAGATATTTCTAGTGATGAGTAGCATCTGTGACGCAAAAACAAAGATGGAGAAACTGTTTCTGAAAACGCTGACTTAAGAAAATTCACTCAATGCTGATAGCAAACCTGAATGGATTAAACCTATAAAGATGTACTGAATTGCTAAATAAAATGGTTAAATTAGCCCAGAGGGTTTCACAGATGAGTTCTATAAATATCCCAGAAACAGCCCCATTCTTTAATAAAGTTTTCCAATAGTTAGAAAAAAGAGGAAACAGCGAAGAGCTCACTTTTCAAGATGAAGATAACTGGTCAAAAGGAAAGTAAAAACATAGAAAATTATAATCATGGGTTCAGTGGCTTAAATACATATTAGCCATCTATAACACATGCACATATAAAACTATACACATATATTCATTACCCATACATATGAAATACATAGGTATTTCATATTTAGGTACAGTTGTATATATTGTCAGAAATTTAGTGAATCTCTGCTCTCCTAAACTTGTAGACATGTATGGTGAAATGTATCTCTCTTTTTTTCTTACATAACAACCAAAAGAGCAAGCATAATTCCTGCTGAAGTGGATATGGATGTTTTAGTTGAAATTGCATTTGTATGTACTAGATGATTCTGACAGTACATGAAATGCAAGATGCTTAAAACAATTGCTGGCCTTTAGTGAGCTATTTTTACCTTGATTTTTAATATAAGTTTAGATAATTTTTAGACTAGCCTAATGTTTTGAGCAATACAGTGGTACATGTTATCTCATATTTTACACAGAGTTGCATCATTCTCTTCTCTTAATGCTTAGGTTGCTTGGAATTAAAGGAAGACACCATTGAAAACCTTCTTGCTGCAGCGTGCCTTCTTCAGCTTCCCCAAGTGGTAGAAGTGTGCTGCCATTTCCTCATGAAGCTATTGCATCCGTCTAACTGTTTAGGAATCCGAGCATTTGCAGATGCTCAAGGATGCATTGAATTAATGAAGGTGGCTCACAGCTACACAATGGTAAGAAAAGTTAATATTTTAATAATAGAGACACAACTAATTTTCAGAGGCTAAAATAATTACTGTAATTGCATTGACCACCTTTTTTAGGTTAAAATGAGTTTTATGTTTGACACATTTTAATTATAGGAGACAATGTACCTTATAGCATTTTATAATCTCAAAGTAAAAAAGACTTCACTTAATGGAACTTGTTGCTTTATGGCTTTGTTTACATTTTATAGGGAAAATAGATTCAGATGATTTGAGATTTTAAAAATTGTTTAAATGAATTTTTCTTAATTGCTCCTGGCATATCTTTTTACAACCACTTCCACAGCTGCCCTTTTTTTTCCTTTTCTTTTTAGTAAAGGGCCAGCAGTCTGTGCCACAGAAACTTTTCTCCAGAAGTTTTCTTACAACCTTTTCACAATGACTTAGTTTTAGCAGCCAAAATTCAATATTGAAGTCCTACCCCCAATGTGATGGTATTTGGAGATGGTGCTCTGGGAGGTAATTAGATTTAGATAAGGTCATGAGTGTGGGGCCCTCATGATGGGAATTAGTGCCCTTACAAAATGGGACACCAGAGAGTTTGCTTACTCTCCCTTCCACCTTGTGAAGGCACAATGGAAAGGCAGCCATTTGCAAGACAGGAAGAGAGCCCTCACTAGGGACCCCAAGAATGCTACATGTTGATGTTGGACTTTCCAGCCACCAGAACTATGAGAAATAAATTCCTGTATAAGCTACTTGGTCTGTGGTACTTTGTTATGGCAGCCTGAGCTGATTAATACACTTTTCTTCATAGCATATTATGTTTAGTGTGGCTTTGCCTGTTTGATTCGTGTAGCAAAAATCATACAGTGTATATCTTAAAGTATTTATTGATTTAGTGAATATTGGATTTCAGAACTCCTGGGAACTTCTATACCAAGGGAAAATATTTAGACATATAAACCAAATGATCCACTTTTTTTGTAAATTTGACTTTCTTTACCATTTCCATACTGGGTTTGATTGAGTAAATATCTCTCAGTAAATACTCCAAGAATAATTTAAGCCTATTTTATATTTTTTCTTTGATTTTTCTATATATAAATATGTATACATGTGTATGTATTTTAACAGCTTTATAGAAATACTGACAATCATTTGAATTGTATATTTTAAATGTGTGAATTTAAGGGTATGAGTTTTTCTCAATGTTCTATCCATTCTAGAATATAATAATCACTTATAAGGATTTCATAGCATCATATTTCATATCTCAGGAATAATCTTTTTAAAAATACTTTGTACAGTATCTAGAATATAGTAAACCCTCTATAAAATGCTAGCATTTTTGTTTTTGTTATTATTATAAACATTATTAATGACTTGATTGTTATTGCAATAACCAATTTCATAGAAGTTTGCTTTTCCAAATCAAAGGAAGAATTTATATGACATAAATCTCATTAAGCTTTATAGTTGCTAATTGTTGAAAAGCTCTTATTTTAGGATTTAACACCTTTGCAAATCACTAATGATAGCCATTTAAAAGTCTTTTAATTGTATTCTTAGAATTTCAGTATTATTTTAATTTTTCTTCTTTAATTCTTTAAGTTGATTAGTATATTAAGTGAACATATATCAATAAAAGGAATACATGCTTTGTAATTTTGTTAAATTCTTTTGAAATGTTCCATGACAGGACATAGTACTACTACTGCAAATGTGTAAACCATATAAAATCAATATAAACAAATAGATCATCATCCAAAACAGCAAAGTCCAAGTGCTCTCATTTAATTATGCACATTTCATTACAATTAGGAGCTCCTGGCTTAGCTCAGCCAAAGAACAATATGCCTTCATATTCAAAGGGATAATGGTCCCTTCTGGTCTAGTTTGAAATCATTAATTTAGTGATAAAAATGTTTTTCTTGCATCTGCCTGGACTGTTTTGCAATTTTATCACACAGTAGCAACATTTTTTCTTTAGACACTTTTAAATGTAGACTCTGGTAATATAAATTTAAAACAGAAATGTAGAAGACTCCAACTAAGACACTCAATATTCTAAACAATTCTATCTTAATTTATTTTGAGACTGTGAATAGATTATAGGCTGTGTCATATCTGTTGAAATTTAAATGATTTCAAAAAATTCTTTTGGAAAAATGAAGCTCCAGTATTCTCCAAATGCTCATGGGTTACGATTTTAGTGAAGAACATTTACTGACCATTTGTCTTTCTAAATGACTATTTTCTCTCAATTTTAACACTTAAAAATGAGTGTTTATATCTGCTATTATAAGTTCTCACCATATATTTGTTTGATACTTGTTTAATCATACCTATGACTTCATCAAATCTATTCAATCAGTGCTTTGAGAACTAATCTATTATGCTATCATTTTTTTCTTCTTAACTTCTTTAGTGGCAAATCATCTAGTTTTCCTTCTATCTCTAGGACCAAATTCTTTTTTGGTTCTAAATATGTTATTTCATTATTGCATAAGAAACATTTTTTTCTGTAATTTTCAATTTCCTTGCTAAATTTTTTTATATGAACTTGATCTCCAGCCTCTAGATTTTAACTTGCTGTTTACATGCCTTTGCTATTTATATAATTTACTGTCTTTCCTTTGGAAATTTCACTCATTTATTTGGCTTCAGCTATTGATTTGTGTGTATGCGTCCAAAATTTTTTCAGAGAAGGTCACACAGCTTGGTAATGGTTCATGTGCAAAATTCTGGAAAATTTTGATTGCAAGCTCAAAACTAGGCATAAGTGTGAAACTAACTCTAAAACATTAATTTAAACTTTGGCTGCATAAACTTACACATAGCAACAAAATAATTGAAGGACATAGTCCCCTGTACTTTATTAGTCAGAGTTTATGAGATTTGTGCTTAATTCTGGACATCACATTTTAAAAGCATTAGAGAGTGACAAACAAAAACAGATAAGAATAGCAAGAATAATAAATATAATAAATATTTATTATTTATTATATTAATATAGAATATTAATTGATAATAATAATAATTGAGGGATTTAAGGTGGTGGCATGAGAGGTGAGACAGTGAACTCCTCCCAAAACCACATATAGTACAAAAATATAGTTAATACAACTAAGCCTAGAACATAAACAGGATAGAAGGCTGCCTACACCTGGAGAACAGAGAAGACCTCACAAAATAGGGTAACGTACCAAAGCCTTGATCCCCCAAGCCCTCCCCCAACCTCAACTCACCAGAGGGAGAAAGAGAAACAGAGCAGGGAAGGGGTGAAGCCTAGAACTGCTGAACACCCAGACCTGGAGATCTGCTTTGGAACACAAACCTATATTGTGTGGTGCTCTGGAGGTTGGCGGGGTTGGGGAGCTGGGACAGGCAGAGTGCTTGAGAGACTGAGATTCCGGCCATTTGTGAAGGACCAGTATCCACATCTGCCCGCTCTGGGGCAAAGGAAAGGGGGGCAGTCTGAGAGGCTTCCTAGCCATGAAAGGGCTGCTGAAGGGGTGGGGTTTGTACGAACCTTGCTGCACAAGAGAAGGGATAGGTGGACAAGGTTCTCTGGGTGCTCTTTGCCCAGTTGGGAACTTTGAAGAGTTTCAGGCGCTCCATCCCCCTGGCTGGCTACTCAACTCTGAGGCCCCACACTGTGACATGCAGCCTGCAGCACCTTCCTCCTGGCCTGTCAGCACCAGCTCGCAAACCAGCAGTCACTGCACTGGCATCAGGCCAGCCAGAGGGAGGCCCCACCTACAATAGCTAGAGAAACAAAGCACAGAGTATTATGGCTGTGTGCTCAGCCCACTGGCTCTAACACTGGAGACAGACAATGCAGCCAGGAATCATGGAACAGCTCTTTCCTCCCCCAGGCACCAGTGCTACTCCTCTGTGATCCCCACCTCACTCCAGGGGCTGAGCCGCTCTAGAGACTAGAGCTTCTGGGCACTAGAGGACACCACACAGAATTAGGAAATGTCAAAGGAACCTGGTTCAGACCAAAATTTCACAAACCCCAGAAAAAGGGCCAACTGAAACTGAACTCATCAAACTTCTTGAAAGAGAGTTTAAAATAAAAATCATAAACATACTCATGGAGGTACAGAAAAATATTCAAGAGCTCAGGAACGACTTTAAGATGGAGATTCAATCATTAAGAAATTCCATATCTGAAATGAAATATACAATGGAGGGATTTAAAAGCAAATTGGATGTAGTAGAAGAGACAGTAAATGGAATAGAGATTAGAGAAAAGGAATAGAAAGAAGCTGAGTCACAGAGAGAAAAAAAAGATTTCTAAGAATGAAAGAATATTGAGAGAACCATGTGACCAATCTAAATGGAATGATATTCACATAATAGGGGTAACAGAAGAAGAAGAAGAGAGAAAAGGGGATAAAAAGTGTCAATGAGGAGGTAATTGCTGAAAATATCCCCAAACTGGGGAAGGAGATAGTCTCTTAGGCCATGGAGGTATACAGATCTCCCAACATAAGGGACCTAAGGAAGACAATATAAAGACATATAATAATTAAAATGGCAAAGATAGAGGATAAAGACAGACTTTAAAAAGCAGCTAGAGAGAGAAAAAAGATCACATACAAAGGAAAACCCATTGGGCTGTCATCAGATTTATCAACAGAAACCTAACAGGCCAGAAGAGAGTGGCATAATATATTTAATACAATGAAAGAGAAAGGCTTCAAACCAAGAATACTCTACCCAGCAAGGTTATCATTTAAATTAGAAGGAGGGATTAAACAATTTCTAGATAAGCAAAAGCTGAGAGAACTTACCACCCACAAACCACCTCTACAGTGCATTTTGGAGGGACTGCTATAGATGGAAGTATTCATAAGGCTAAATAGCTGTCACCAGGGGAAATAAAACCACAACAAAGTAGAACAATTAATTACTAAGCAGGTGCAATATCGAATCAACTACCTCTAAGTCAATCAAGGGACAGACAAAGTACAGAATACAAACCTAACACATAAAGAATGGAGGAGGAAGAAAAA